AAAATATGAGAAAATTGGCAATAAAATTCTCTAGAAAATGCAAGAATTCTATTTTTTAGCAGAAAAATTCCGTTAAATTCTCCCAAAATACACTTCAGACTAAAAAAACGTGTATTACTTTCCTAGACTGTAATTATAACTCATTTAATACAATTAACTGAAGTTAAAAATGTATAAATTACAATATCAAATAAAGATTTAATGAAGAAATGCGTGTAAATTTTAGATTTTTAGGATTAAATTTGAAATTTTAAAGGGCCCAAAAGTCGGTTAACAATGTTTCATTTCGTATCTTTCTCATTACACTTGAAAATACGAATCGTAGAAAGAGGATAGAATAAATTATTTTAACTTTACAAAATTGCTAGAAATCTATTCAAATTTTTGCGATAAAATTACAAGCATTTTCAAATTTAAAAAATTTACTAGTTTTTTCTAGAAATTTTAGTATATTCTAGAGATGTTTGAGTTTATTCTAGAGAAATTTGGGATTATTTTGAAGTTATTTAAGATTATTCTAGAAATTTTAGTTTATTATAGAGAAATTTGGGATTATTTTCAAGTTATTTAGGATTATTCTAGATATTTTAGTTTATTCTAGAAGTATTCGAGTTTATTCTAGAGAAATTTGGGATTATTTTGAAGTTATTTAGGATTATTATATAAATTTTAGTTTATTCTAGAAGTATTTGAGTTTATTCTAGAGAAATTTGGGATTATTTTGAAGTTATTTAGGATTATTCTAGAAATTTTAGTTTATTCTAGAAGTATTTGAGTTTATTCTAGAGAAATTTGGGATTATTTTGAAGTTATTTAGGATTATTCTAGAAATTTTAGTTTATTCTAGAAGTATTTGAGTTTATTCTAGAGAAATTTGGGATTATTTTGAAGTTATTTAGGATTATTCTAGAAATTTTAGTTTATTCTAGAAGTATTTGAGTTTATTCTAGAGAAATTTGGGATTATTTTGAAGTTATTTAGGATTATTCTAGAAATTTTAGTTTATTCTAGAAGTATTTGAGTTTATTCTAGAGAAATTTGGGATTATTTTGAAGTTATTTAGGATTATTCTAGAAATTTTAGTTTATTCTAGAAGTATTTGAGTTTATTCTAGAGAAATTTGGGATTATTTTGAAGTTATTTAGGATTATTCTAGAAATTTTAGTTTATTCTAGAAGTATTTGAGTTTATTCTAGAGAAATTTGGGATTATTTTGAAGTTATTTAGGATTATTCTAGAAATTTTAGTTTATTCTAGAAGTATTTGAGTTTATTCTAGAGAAATTTGGGATTATTTTGAAGTTATTTAGGATTATTCTAGAAATTTTAGTTTATTCTAGAAGTATTTGAGTTTATTCTAGAGAAATTTGGGATTATTTTGAAGTTATTTAGGATTATTCTAGAAATTTTAGTTTATTCTAGAAGTATTTGAGTTTATTCTAGAGAAATTTGGGATTATTTTGAAGTTATTTAGGATTATTCTAGAAATTTTAGTTTATTCTAGAAGTATTTGAGTTTATTCTAGAGAAATTTGGGATTATTTTGAAGTTATTTAGGATTATTCTAGAAATTTTAGTTTATTCTAGAAGTATTTGAGTTTATTCTAGAGAAATTTGGGATTATTTTGAAGTTATTTAGGATTATTCTAGAAATTTTAGTTTATTCTAGAAGTATTTGAGTTTATTCTAGAGAAATTTGGGATTATTTTGAAGTTATTTAGGATTATTCTAGAAATTTTAGTTTATTCTAGAAGTATTTGAGTTTATTCTAGAGAAATTTGGGATTATTTTGAAGTTATTTAGGATTATTCTAGAAATTTTAGTTTATTCTAGAAGTATTTGAGTTTATTCTAGAGAAATTTGGGATTATTTTGAAGTTATTTAGGATTATTCTAGAAATTTTAGTTTATTCTAGAAGTATTTGAGTTTATTCTAGAGAAATTTGGGATTATTTTGAAGTTATTTAGGATTATTCTAGAAATTTTAGTTTATTCTAGAAGTATTTGAGTTTATTCTAGAGAAATTTGGGATTATTTTGAAGTTATTTAGGATTATTCTAGAAATTTTAGTTTATTCTAGAAGTATTTGAGTTTATTCTAGAGAAATTTGGGATTATTTTGAAGTTATTTAGGATTATTCTAGAAATTTTAGTTTATTCTAGAAGTATTTGAGTTTATTCTAGAGAAATTTGGGATTATTTTGAAGTTATTTAGGATTATTCTAGAAATTTTAGTTTATTCTAGAAGTATTTGAGTTTATTCTAGAGAAATTTGGGATTATTTTGAAGTTATTTAGGATTATTCTAGAAATTTTAGTTTATTCTAGAAGTATTTGAGTTTATTCTAGAGAAATTTGGGNCTGAGCAAAGAATGGTAGACAAGCTTAAAAACCTTTATTTTGCTGAGCAAAGAATAATAGACAAGCTTAAAAACGTCTATTTTGCTGAGCAAAGAATGGTAGACAAGCTTAAAAACCTCTATTTTGCTGAGCAAAGAATGGTAGACAAGCTTAAAAACGTCTATTTTGCTGAGCAAAGAATGGTAGACAAGCTTAAAAACCTTTATTTTTCTGTGTGGGAATGGTGTGAAATGTCGAAAGCTCTATTTTTCTTTTTCTTTTCCTGCAGGAAGTAGTAAACAAAGTTTGAAATCTTTCTTTTTACTGTGCAGGAAATGATTTATTTTCTGTTATTTTGCCAGAAACGTTCGTCCGACAATCAAAATTTCCGTTTATATTTTCGTTTATTTTGTGTTTTCCTATATAAATTTCGAATTTTTATTGAAGCGAACGTCTTGCATCAATTCATTTCATTCCTATTTTGATACGCAAATAAAGCGTTATACAAATATGAAAAACGTTTGATAAAACAACAAACCAAAAAGAATGTTTAATCGTAGAAAATAAGTGAGAAATTTGCAATTACACGCAACACTTTGCTGATAATTCATACGTTACAACGAGGGAAATTACGCCGTTCTAATTACTCAACTCAATTTTATCGTATATTAAATGTTATAACAAGGTAGTAATTCTCTATACTAGTATAGCGCATTAATAAAACACACAAATAACTCGAAATAATGAAAAACTTCGTTATAACGAGCTTTAATACGCTATGTTAAAAAAAACGATTAGGACCAGCAAAAAATCGATTTCGCAAATGTAAAGTATATTTAAGATTCGATATAACGGAAACCTCGTTATAGCGTGGTCGAATAATGGATAGAACAGAATTTGGAGTAAATTTGAGCCTATATTTATGAGGTCAATAGAGTTAGATAACGTTCAGTCGTTATATTGAATTCTCGACTTGACAGTGAATTAATTAACAGAAAATTTAAGTCTTTTCTGCACGTTTTTTTAAAGAAAAAAGTACTAGAATTAAACTATGGAAACCTTTAAAAAAATGTCTTTTCTCAGTGTTAAACTATTAAGGAAGTAGTTCTCTCGCATCATTTACCCAGAATAAACTGTTCTTCCTCGTTCTCATACCCGTCATTTACACCTTCCTACAGGTGCTTTACGTACAGACAACCAGCAGACTTTTACGTTTGCTTTCCTCTTCATTGAACTCGCATCATAACCTGACATTTCCGATTCGAAAAAAGGTTAAAATGCTCAAGGCTACGTATAAAATAAAATAAAATAAAATAAAACCACCGCAGCTGCGAGTCGAACGTTAAAAAGAGGTTCGTTCTTCATTGTTTCGTAACATCCCCCCTCTAATTAACTTATTATTTTTGGCTCGTATCAAGAGAAATATGAGGAAAAGTACATTAGATAAAGTCCGGTTTGGGCAATTACACGCTGGTGAAATTAATTAGCTGTGTAGTAGATTTACCTCGTTATTACGTTCGATTCTGTTTTAAGCATTACTACTTTTTGTTTACTTTCTTTTTCTAAAGGCTCTAATGACGGTCGGTAAAAAGTTTAAATGCTTCTTTAAAGAAGTTTCGCCTGGGGTCATTGATCGATATCTTTCGCGTCGTGAGCGCTGTTGGATCCACGTTATAAGCGGGGTGGGTATTATAATGCGAATTCTTTCTTTTTTACCAGTGGTAAATGAGCTGTGCATGTTCAAGAGGGCGATTTTGTTAGTCAATAAAGTGGCCATTTATATTGAGATTCTACATGATACCTAGTGCCAGCCTCGTCGATGGTCGAGCGCTCTTATTAACTTCTCGCTGCGACTTTACTACGTTCGTGAGTGTAATGACCCCGTATCTGCGTATTTCTAATGTAAAGCACTAATTAAACGTTTAAGACTATCCAAATGATCTTTCGTAATAATATAATGCCTTATATCGAGTTAAAATCCGTGTATAAACAAGCATCGCTAACCTCTTTCTAACGTAAGAGCGATATATTTCTAATAAACGTGTTACTTTACGAGTACTAATTAAACTTAAAATACCTCGATATAACGTCAATTTCTGAAGTATTTACTATGACAAATACTTCTTAATTGTCCAATTTTTTAAATAATTTTTACACGTAAAAATGGAGCCGTGAAACGAGTTGCCGAAATTACCCGCTTATAACGTACGGCTTCTACGTCGAATTTTACGCAACGTTTATCATTAAAAAAAACACACAGCTTAAAATTCATTAATTATTCGATTTTTACAACGTTTTAAACACTCTAAATAAGGAATAACAGTATCTGTCGACAGTAACAGGGAGCAATAACCTTAGTTTCTTAGTACACTGTAGTACCCCAGGCTGTTTTCGATTATGATTAGAATGTCGTAGCAGGGGAGGAGGATACAATTATCATCTCGGGCCATAAATTCAACCCCAGACAGATTAAAAAATGATAATTTCATAAAGTTAGAGAGAGACCTGTATACAAACTTTCTCCACCCACCCAGGAAGGGGGTATATTTAATCATTTGTATGAACTACACGAGGGTAAATTATACTCGATTTTAATCAGGATAATGTAGTGGTGTTGCATTAAGAATATGTAAAAAGCTGTAGATATTTGCAACAACGAACTTACTTTCGTCAGAAGCATCCGGACAGTCAAGTTTTCCATCTTTTACCCTCGACAAAGGAATGCAACGAGATGTGTTAACACATCTGAACTCCCTCCGTTCGTCGCACGTTGAGTTAATTTGTACAGCTGAAAATACAAAAATAACAATAAATAATTTAAAAAATAACTATTTTTACTTATGCCTAATCTCATTCTGTAATAATACAATTATAATTTTAATGGTTGTTATATTTATTGAAGCATACAACTAAGCTTATATCCTATGAGCCAGGTCAAAATCAAGGATATTTTTGATATGACTTGTGTTTTTTCTTGCTCTGATTCTGTTTAAGAAAATAATAATAATTTGAGTAAGAATTTGTTTAGATTTTATTAGACTAGACTAGGTTTAGACGAGGTTTATTATACAGCATTTTCTGGAGGCGGGGATTAGGATATCGTGCAGCATCGACTAGACTAGGTTTAGAGATTATACAGCATTTTTCTGGAGGCGGGGGTTAGGATATCGTGCAGCATCGACTAGACTAGGTTTAGAGATTATACAGCATTTTCTGGAGGATGGGATTAGGATATCGTGCAGCATCGACTAGACTAGGTTTAGAGATTATGCAGCAGCGCATAAATTGATAAAATTAGGAAATCCTTGAACTCTCACAACAATTTATTTAATTTCTATTTTTATCTCGACCGATAATTTATTTTTACTTCGACGATTAATTGTTTTCGGCGTTGTATCGAGGGACAGAAATCCGTGAAAAGGAACAATCCAAAAATCTTTCCAGTCACGAGCTGCAGCACTCGCGAATCGTCACAACTATTTAATTCGGGTATACAAGAAAAATCCTTTGTATTTCTCGTGCGACATTTTTTCTCTACTTTTTAATTTATTGTCTGCAGTTCTCTATAATATTCTAGATTCGTGACTAGACCATTTTTTCTGTACTAATGGAAAACAGAACACAGAGAATTTTCCTTCTACGTGAAGTTGTAATGATTAATTATCTTCAACATTTTTTTTTAATTTTAAAACTTGTTTTGGGGTCGTTTTGTAAATTAGAAATAAAGATTTTCGGCTCTTTTGAGGGTTAGACGGGCGTGAATATTAATTTTGCGCTTCCAAATTTCGCAATAAAGTGAATTTGTTGGTAAGTTTAAATTATTTAAACTCCAAACTTGATTTAAATTCTAGTAAATTTGATGTATAATCTTGTAAATTTACAGTTTTTAAGGCATTGTTTACAAAATTTTACAACGTATTCACTAAAACGTATACAAGTTTGCAGAATTTTATAGAAAAACTTGTAAATTTGCTGGAAAATTATTTTATTTCGCTGTAAATTTTTAAAAAATTAGTTGTAAAATGCCGTAAATATGCTATAAAACTGTTTTATTTTACTATAAATTATCATTTAGCAAAAGGGGGCGATTGCCCGGGGCCCCACCAACAGAGGCGCAAGAAACCAGTCTTCTTTATAAGAAAATATTTTTTCAAAAAATTCTCTCGGAGGAAAATGTCTGACGTTAACACTGTACGTGGGGCCCCCTAATTCAAAATTTCCCTTGGCCCCTTAAAGCTGCTTTAATAAAAGAAAAAAATTAACTGATTTGTTAAATCAAGTCTCTTGCACGGCTCTATAAACCGTATATTCAATAGGGTTTATAGAGCCGTGCTCAGTCATTCAATAGATCCAATGTTCAGCTCTTTTGGTTCAGCTCAATGTTCTCAACACTGAAAACTAACTCAACGTAAAACCCTATTGAATAGTTGAGCAAGGCTCTATAAAACTCTATTGAATGGCTGAGCAAGGCTCTATAAAACCCTATTGAATGACTGAACAACGTATCTGTTAAATGGCTGAGGACTAGATCTTTTAAATGGCTAAACAGGCGCTCATTCATTCAATGAGAATGAACGTCCCTATTGAATGGAGAGCACCTGTTCAGCCATTAAAAGGTGTTTCTCGTATGCATTAGTGTTAAATTCGACTGTATTTATTGCATTATTTTTAAAAAACAGAAGAAAAAATTCCAAAAAACTAGTTTATTTCTTGACTGTTATTTAAAAAAAAATCCGGTTCTATTTTTATTTAACTCGCTATTTTGAACGGAACGTGGTTAAACGGTTACATGTTATCTACAATGAATTTACTAAGATAATAACTTTCTATAGTTTAAATAATATTTCCATATAATTATAACAATGTATATAACTATTTTAATGAAAAACAACTACTATCATCCCATTATATAATAATATAAATTGAAGTAAAATACTTGCTATGAGGGAAAATATGCAATTTATATAGTCAAATGAATGATACGGAAGAAGTAGAGCGTAGAGATAAATGTATGGACAATTTCAAAAAACTTTAAATTGCCCCGAAAAAAAAAAGAAAAAAAAATTATATTTTCGTCGATAATTAATGATAAAATTAAAATTTTTTCAGAGCAAAACTTAATGACAAAGCAAATATTTTAGTGTAATTTACTTCGTTTACGAACTTCTTGGGAAAATTTTACAGGAATTAAGTTGGAGATTTTCAAAAAAAAATCATAGATTATGCTAAAAATATGAGAAAATTGGCAATAAAATTCGCTAGAAAATGCAAGAATTCTATTTTTTAGCAGAAAAATTCCGTTAAATTCTCCCAAAATACACTTCAGACTAAAAAAACGTGTATTACTTTCCTAGACTGTAATTATAACTCATTTAATACAATTAACTGAAGTTAAAAATGTATAAATTACAATATCAAATAAAGATTTAATGAAGAAATGCGTGTAAATTTTAGATTTTTAGGATTAAATTTGAAATTTTAAAGGGCCCAAAAGTCGGTTAACAATGTTTCATTTCGTATCTTTCTCATTACACTTGAAAATACGAATCGTAGAAAGAGGATAGAATAAATTATTTTAACTTTACAAAATTGCTAGAAATCTATTCAAATTTTTGCGATAAAATTACAAGCATTTTCAAATTTAAAAAATTTACTAGTTTTTTCTAGAAATTTTAGTATATTCTAGAGATGTTTGAGTTTATTCTAGAGAAATTTGGGATTATTTTGAAGTTATTTAAGATTATTCTAGAAATTTTAGTTTATTATAGAGAAATTTGGGATTATTTTCAAGTTATTTAGGATTATTCTAGATATTTTAGTTTATTCTAGAAGTATTCGAGTTTATTCTAGAGAAATTTGGGATTATTTTGAAGTTATTTAGGATTATTATATAAATTTTAGTTTATTCTAGAAGTATTTGAGTTTATTCTAGAGAAATTTGGGATTATTTTGAAGTTATTTAGGATTATTCTAGAAATTTTAGTTTATTCTAGAAGTATTTGAGTTTATTCTAGAGAAATTTGGGATTATTTTGAAGTTATTTAGGATTATTCTAGAAATTTTAGTTTATTCTAGAAGTATTTGAGTTTATTCTAGAGAAATTTGGGATTATTTTGAAGTTATTTAGGATTATTCTAGAAATTTTAGTTTATTCTAGAAGTATTTGAGTTTATTCTAGAGAAATTTGGGATTATTTTGAAGTTATTTAGGATTATTCTAGAAATTTTAGTTTATTCTAGAAGTATTTGAGTTTATTCTAGAGAAATTTGGGATTATTTTGAAGTTATTTAGGATTATTCTAGAAATTTTAGTTTATTCTAGAAGTATTTGAGTTTATTCTAGAGAAATTTGGGATTATTTTGAAGTTATTTAGGATTATTCTAGAAATTTTAGTTTATTCTAGAAGTATTTGAGTTTATTCTAGAGAAATTTGGGATTATTTTGAAGTTATTTAGGATTATTCTAGAAATNCAGGTAATTGAAAATAAAACAATTTTAATCTGTGTAACTGTGAGTCTGCAATCTCGTACACCAGTATGATAAGTCCTATTAATAGAAATACACTGATATAGTGATTAAAAGAATAATTTTGATTAAATTAAGGACATAGATGCATATTAATTATTTTAAAGATATTTGAGTTCCTTCTAGAGATTTTATGTTAATTTCACTTTTAAATTTATTAATTAAACTTAATTTTAAATTATTTCATAAAAAATATTAACAAAAATTTTCACGAAACTCTCGAACAAGTCACTTAAACTGCGAAAAACCTTCTAGTTAAAACAGCAAGCGAGACTTCAACTCGCGATCTACAACTAGAAAACTTTAAAAAATAAAAATAAACCGGACCATAAACGTTTTCAAGGTTATAACCAATAAGAAAATAGAGAAAACGCAGTCGAATTTTCCAGATAAAATCGAAAACAACGAAGAAAAATCAAGATTTATTAAAGATTTTGCCACTCAAACCCGACCGTAATCTCTCCGAAGGACGTTCGGACAGACATCTTTGCATTTTAACGCAAAGAAATTAACAATTTGAAAAAAAATACAATAAATAATTATCAGGCAAACAGAAAAAGAAAACCGTAATTAACATTCAAAGGCCTTAACTTAGCGGGAATGGCGTAGAAAGCGTTAAGGACAAAAAAAAAGGAAGCACAAGATAAATATTCGTCTTGTAGACGTCCATACAACCGGTTTTTCGAGAGAAGAGGGAGAGATTCTTCGTGTTGTTTGACATGGGTGGACGCGCGGCCTAATTAAAGAGAGGCTAGGCGAGTTCTGTGGTTCACTGCACCCCTCTTTAACCGTTTTGTTCAATTAATATAGCCGTTTTCTCTATGACGATTCTTCATCGTTCAGCGCGTAATTTACAGCTATCGTAATTAAAATATACCTGGAAAATTGCGTAAACTTGCAGAAACACTCGTTCAAATTTCCGCAAATCGCATAATCGGGGAAAAATACGGACGCGATGCGAACGACACCGATTGTAAAATATGAGCGGCGCCGCGCGTGGCGTGGAGCAGGTTGCGTCGCGAATTATAGACAAGAAGAAATGTTTATAACTTCCGTTTCGTGTTCTAGAAAAACATTAAAGTTACATTATTTGATTACAATTACTCGATTTAACGCCCAAGTTCTAGAATAACTTGTCTAGATCGTTGATGAATGTTTATTTTTGTAGAAGTTTTATGGCTAGATGCCCTTCTTGTATGTTCTTTGCTCTATAAAATGCTACCTTGCCGTCTGGCATAGACGTTCTACGGATTTACTTCTGTA